CTAATGTTTTTAATGACCTAAGTGATGTAAATAATCAACCGTGGTATAATGAGACACCTTATATAGGTCACCTATGTGAGTGCGAAGTGGGGAAACTTATTTAAGAATTTGGTAAGGCCGAATTTTTTAAAAGCACTCACTGAACCAGGCTAGTGTTCTAGGGTCATACCAGACACAGTAGTGAAAAATAAGAACAATGGTTGGACTAACTCCTGTGTGAGGTCTATTGTCTCGGTTTACACAAATGGCCGAACAATTCAAGACATCATGTTCACTATTAGCTAGTAAATCCGATAGGCTTTCACTACGAAAGGTTTAAGGCCAACAACTACCTTTTCTGATGCAGGGTTAGTCGTGTACTCTCTCCTTCTTTGAGTTTTTGTTGTTAAACGTTGTCTGTTTTCTTTATTCAGACAATTTTTATTCATGTGGGGGATTGTTAAAAAAATTCTTTTATGGTGACTTTAATTTGAAATTAAAGTAGGTCCCCACCACCAATTGAGGTGTGATTAAATAGGTTTGGATTCTTTGTAACAAGATCTTTACACCACAAAAAGACTGACCAAAAAACATTGGCAATTAAATGATAAATTGTCTCATAAAGTTGGCCTCATAAATGAGGTATTGGGAATAGTATCCCACATTGATTGTAGATGAAAGCATTGATGGGTATTTAAATCCCAAGTTTTGGATCAGCATGAGCCCTTTGGGGCATCCAAATTTTCCGAAGGAAATGAGTTATGGATGCTTTAAGAATTGGCTTGGGCCAAAACTATGGTCCAAGTTGGTTATGTAAAAATTGTCACATGCTCACGCGCACCGCCTACCCACACAGACTGGACCGGGCTAGGTCCGAGTTCGAGTTTGGGTCAAGGTCCGTGGTCCATGGTCCGTGATTTGTGGGTCGTGGATCTTAGATCTTAGGACTTGGGTTTGAGCTTGAGGCTTGTAGCTTGCATTAGGTTTGGGTTGGGCCAGATTGGTGGCCCATCAACCTAATCTTTTTAAGGCCAAGTCTGTTAGGTAGTTGCAGATATACACACATGTGTATATAAAGTGTATAACTTATACACTAATTGTCCTATCAATTTTGCTGCATTAGTTGGGTAGTTTTGCAAAAATTGAATTCTGCATTGGTTGCAGAAAGGCTCCTCATCTCTCACTCATTGTGTATCAAAGGTGACCATCCTCTTTGGTTGGAGTACAAAAATTCTTTTACTCTGTAATGATAGTCAGTCTGTTCGTAGATTATTCTTATTGTGTAAAAGAATGCTGCCATTGTCAGTTCGCTAAAACTAAACAGAAATTGTTTTTGCGTTAGCGGGCTTCAACCGTTGTACCCTAAGAAACAAACACCTACATATCTCCAGCACTTACGGTGAGGTGACGAATCTGTTTTAAAGAGACTGTGGAATCACATGGGTTTCAGTTTGCTTCCTTATCTTATTTCAATAATTTATTTTGATATATATTTTTGTTCATCATATTGTTTAGCTTCATGGATTTCTTGATATGTAAACAATAATTACGTGTATTTATTGTGAAATATTAGCAATTTATTAAAAAAAATTGAGGCTCTGTTTGGTTATGTTTTCAAAATGTGATTCTACACCGAGTTTTGAATATGATGTTTGGAACGTGTTTTGGAAACACGTTTCCAAAATTCTGCAGAGAAGTTTGTACCAGGCACGAGTTTCGGAATTTTTTTTTGCAAATTTTGCCTAATCGGTCGTCCCCTGGTTGACCGGAATAGTGATTTTTTTTTTTTTGTAATTGATATTTTAATTTTTATATATTCGAAAAAAATATTTTTTGAATTTTTTAAAATTTTTTATGTGCTTTAAAATAATTTTGAGTTGTATGTTTGGTTATAAGTTGTAAATTTTTATATCAAATATCAAATGTCACATTAATAATTTCTCACTCAATTCAAAACTCTTTTCAAAATTCTTTACCAAACAAATTTTTCATACTCAAATCATAATTTCAAACTTCACAAACTCAAAATATAATTTATATTTTCAAATTATAATTACAAAACTCTAGCAAACGCAACTTAATTTTTTTTTACTCACAGTGACAGTGGACTCCGTACACTACTCCTATCACGAGTAGATAGAATACGTGGTAGAAAATGGTGCGTTCGTAGCTGAACTCATGATATATTACCACATTGGATTTACAATCTTTTGTTGGTTTGAATTTTAAGATTTTACTTTTCAAAACATTAAATTTTTTTATTTTTTTTATTTTTTATTGATTTTTTTAATATTCTAAGTAATTTTTTTAATTTTTAAATACATCTAATATAAATATATTTAAAAAGCATAATATTTGTGAAAAGAAATCTTTAGAAAATTCACTAAATACCAAAAATATAAAAAAAAAATAAGAATTTAGTATTTTTCTTATTCTTTGTGTATTTATTGATTTTTTAAAATATTTTTTAATAAATATTTTATTTTTTAAATACATTTAAGTAAGGTGCATTTAAAAAAATAAAAAATTACTTAAAATTTTAAAAATATCCACTAAAAATAAAAAAATACAAATAATAAAAAACTCAATTTGTAAAAAATTGAATTTAAAAAATTAAAACCAAACCCAATTAATGGTTTTTTATATCACTTTCTACATAAACACCCACAATTGATTCTCTTATTTTATATAATTATTAAATAATTAATGAAAAAAATAATTATATTATTATGTAATCAGGTAATAGAAATTGTTAAAAAACAATCTTTTGTCAAGATTGTATTGACCAATAAGGCCAAGTGTGCATGTGACCAAAAAGTCAAAAAGTTAAAAAAATTACTTAAAAAGTTAAAAAGATATCACTATTCACCAAAATTCAAAAAGTACGACTACACAACTCTCAATCCTAATTTTTCTCTACACACTAATTTATATAATTTTTTAATACATATTTTTTTATAAAAAGTCAAAAAGTTAACCCAAACAACTATATTTTTTTTCTCAATTTTTTAGTCTAAAAAGTTAAAAAATACACTTATTTAGGACATCCCAAACAATCCGTAAGTCTCACTACTTATATTCATTAATTGGAATGATGAATGAAGAGCGTGCTTAAAAAGTGGCTATTTTAATTGATTTTTTAAAATTTTACAAAAAAATAATAATAGCTACGGTGGGACATTTTAATTGTTTTTGATTATTTTAACGAAAAGGTCAACAGTCCAAGCGGGGATTAATGTGGAATATAACTATGGTTACCATTATGTTCCTAAAAAAATAATAATAATAATAAAAAATAAAGGATAAATTACAAATACACCTTTTGAGGTTTATTTAAAATACGAATTGTCCCATGTGATTTGAAAAATTACAAATATTTTATTGTCAGAATTTTTTATTTATCAGAATTAATTAAAAAAATAAAATTTCTAACTGTTCACATATACAATAATAAAATTATTTGAATTATTAATTAAAATAAAATTTTAACATTAATAAAAACTGTTAATTAACTTGATGATTTATTAATAAAATGACCTATTTGTTATGAAATTAGAAATCTTACGGGACATAATGTAATTTCTAAAACTATAAAGAGTAATTTGTAATTTAAGTAAACTTCAAGGGGTGCGTTTGTAATTTACCCAAAAATAAACTATGGTTACCCTTACTCATGCATAATTTTTTTGGAAAATTTTTTTTTAAAAAAATCTTAAAGTTGGACCCTTAGAACACAATTAACCTTAAGTTTTAATTTTGTTAATTTAAATTTTAAATTTTTAGTTTTTTTTAATATAAATTATATGTCTATTTTCATTACGTAAAATCGACAAAAAAAAGAAAGAAGGGTATTTTAGTTACTAAACTTAATGAAAATAGATAATTTATATATTTTATGTATATCTACATTGAATTTAATAATTAAAATCCTATTTTTCATTAATTTTAATTAAAGAAAATAGAAAATAATTTATATTGAAAATAAATCAAAAAATTAAGATACAAATTAATAAAATTAAAAACTTAAGATTCATTTTATGATAAGATTCAAATTTTAAGATTTTTTTTTAAAAAATTATTCTTAATTTTTTATGGTATAAATAAATGTGAAAAATAAATTTATAAAATCAATTTTAATTCTTGAATGGGAGGAAGGCAAGAAAGTTAGTGAAAAAAAAAATATTATAAATTGTCATATTATTTTTTCTATTTTTTTTACATATCTTTTCATAAAAAATTAAAAAATTACTAAAATAGCTTGTTTCAGCCTTAACGTCAATCACACGACTCTTTTATGCAGATACATTCAAAATTTTAGACTATTTTAAAAAGATGATTAAATGCCATCTTTTAACTTTTAATCCATTTTATATGATATTATTTCTCATATTTTTTAAACACACATTTTAAAAAACTTAAAAAATCAAATTTTTAATCATCTTTTCAAAGTAACCATATGTAAGTCGGGTTGGTAGCATTTTCCGTAGAAATAAGGGCGCGAATATGCGGGGTCGTCATCATTCATCAAACACCGGTCGGCGCATACGACGATTCGATTCGATTCGATTCGAGTCAAAACCACAAACCCACCAATTACACCAACCATACAAATCCAAACCCATTTATAATTGTAATTGTTTATGTTTTCCCATCATTTCACGCTACAGATAGATAGATAGATAGATAGCGAGATACATATATATCATTTTCAGACACCATTCTCGGGTTCTTTGGCCTCTACACTTGCCCAGACCCCCAAAGCTCTAGATTTTGCTGACCAACGATATTTTGTCGGATTCCTCCAACTTGGTTTCTTGGGCGTGCATGTCTTTTGCTTCAATTTCAATTCATACTTGATTCTTGAGACCAAGGCCTATTCACAAACCCATTTGTGCTTTTTTCCTATTTATTTCAACAAGGTTAGTGTTGTTTATCTTTTGTGATCATTGGTTTGTTTTACGGTTTTATTGGAGATTATGATTATGCCTTATATAATTCTGGGTTTGTGTTTCTATTTTTGCTTCTGCTTTTGTCAATGTCCTCAATATATGTTTGCTATTGTTGATTTTTTAGTAGTGGTAATAGCATGATTGTGTCTGCTTTTCCCTTTGATTTTTTTTAGGGTTGTTATGATTATTAATTATAATGGTTGTTATTTTTTTACTGTTTAAATTTTTGTTTTTAATGATTGCATGTTCCATTTGATCCACTCTATGATAATCCGACAATTTGATTGATGATTCATTGATTAACTTCACTATGTTTAATTTATGAGGCTTCTAGCAGTTTCCTTTTGGGACATATACACTATGCTCTGCACTTTCTGTTGGGATTTAATTGCAGATTATGCCTATATTTACATGTCTTTTCTGTATATTTTGCTTGATTGATGATTGCAGAATTCAAGCTATCGTGTTCGTGGCGCAGTTTTTATTTTCTCCCGTATTAAGAAAGTAAAGTTTTGGGTTTAAGCACTTCTTTATTGTTTGTTGGCTTTGAATTCAGCTTTAAATGTTGTTTGTTTACCCTCATTTACGTCTTAATTTGGCCTAGTGTTATCTGTAAAGAATCTATAGATATACTTACGAGTGCTAGTCTACTAGATATGTAACAGTTACCCTACATTGTCTCTTTATTTATTTTGAATATGATACAGATTGTTTGAATATTTTTAACCATCATTTAAATGGAAAAATGTAAAATGCTGGGCTATACTTTGTTGAAATTGTTTCCTGCTTAAAGTGTTTTTCTCAGATGTGCATATGCCTTATTCTTTTTCCAATCGCTTATCACAATTTACTATATGGATTTTCTAGGAAACCAGGAGACCATAGAAGTAGGGAAGCTTTAGATTTGGCATCCAATTCTGGTTCTTGCTGTATCTGTAACATAGAGCAAATATTTAAATGTAGTTTTTTTCCCCTTCAGTTTAGGTTTGTAAGTTTACTGCAAAATATGCTGCCAAGGCCTCATGATTTTTCAGCATGCCAGGCACAAGATGGTTAAAATTTGTGGTCTCCTAATGGGATCTCACTGAACTGGGTTGCACCTGGGGTGAGGAACCGTGTGATTTTTGCGGCAATACAAGAAACAGCTCTTATTTATATTCTAAATAACTAGAAGATTGCTATTTTTATTGGATATATGAATCGTGCTTACTATCCAATTACATGTATTACATTATATTTGACTTGCATTGAATGCATTGTCTTGTCTTTTGCAGCGTGCTTATCTTTCAGTGGTTTCCTTCTAAAGGGATGGAATCGAAACAAGGTCCGCCCAGTGTCATTGCAAGCTTGATGGGTCTTGATGAATTGTCACCACAGAAGCCTGTCTGCAAACCTCACCGAGTGCTCTCTGAAAATTATCTCCGGAAAACTGCTTCCATCGGTTTACTAGAGAAGCGATCTTACCATGAAAGACGTTCATTTAGGGTCACTTATGAAGAACAAGAAGAATTGATGGATGCGTTTGAAGTTCGAAATATACCAACGATGGATAAACACTATATCCAATCAATCCAAGAAGTGCGAGCAAACACAACCATGACTGAAGTGAAGAAGTCATTTGTAAGGCAGAAATCAGAAACAACTGCACGCCGGAATATTTTGAGATCACTTCAGAAATTTGAGAATGGTTTTTTAACGGATTCCTGTGGTGACCTTGTTATTGATTATACCTCCCAGTTGTTAAATCCTCAAATGGAGTTAAAGAATGAGACATGTTTTTCCCCTTCAAAGACTACAAAGGATGGCACACATCATTCGCCTTCAAGGATTGTTGTTCTAAAACCAAATCTCGGAAAGTCACAGTATGCTGCGAAGTCTTCATTTTCGCCTATTTCTGTGGATTGTTCTCAGTCAAGTGATAGAAATCATGTGGAGTTTTCTAAGCTTAAAAATGGAGAATTGAATAATCAAGTAGTAGAAAGGAAAATTTTGGCCAATGACATGGAAACTTCTAGGCATGCTTCTAGAGTATCTAGGAAGTTTGCGAAGGGCATTTCCAGACACATAACACATAGCATTAGCAGCAGTTTGAGAGAGGTATCAATAACTGAAACGAGAGTTGATAAGACCTTCGTGAATGAATCTGAGGTAAAGATGCCTTCTTGCTCGAGTTTCTTTGACTGGAAGAACCAATGCGAAACAACAAATTCTCCTTTGAATAGGTCATCGAACGCCAACCAAGCCAAGAAACAACTCTCACGAAGGTGGAAAATAACCAAAAGTCATGAAGAAGTAGGAGTAGCTAGTAGGGGCACCACCCTTGGTGAAATGCTTGCTATGCCTGATCAAGAAACCATGCCTGAAAATTTCGACTGTAAGCTTGATAAAAGTGGCCTGAATAATCAATTGAGTCTGAATGATCGAGATACAGACTTGGACAGTCCTTTTGGTATTAGCAGCAGGGATGGTTGGAAGGAGGAGTACGCTAGAAGCTTAACAAGATCGGGATCCATTCCTGGTGCTTCTATCACCATTGAAAATCATGAATCTAGGACCAGAAATAAGGCTGCTCACAGTGATATCTGCTTGAATTTAGATGAATCTGTTACTGAGGGAAATACTGAATCAACGAATCAGTTCTGGTCCTGGAAGGAAAGTTCAGAAGCCAGAGTGTCGAGACATGGTGATGAGAAATGCCAGACTTCTTGTATGGATTCAGTGGATAATCATTTCATACGAGAAACTTGTGTTGTTCTGGAAGACCTGGAAAACAAAATTGAGAAGGAAGATTTCTCTGAAGAAAGTTCTGCGGAATATGATCAAAAAGTACGAGGAACCCAGATGGTTCAGGATCGGTTAAAAATTCCTAAATCATCAAGTAGCAGTGTTGACTCATCGAGAATATATTCAGAAGTAGTGGTAGTTGCAGAAACTGAGAATGCGGGACTGTCTTCTGGAACCCGGGAGAAGGAGCAGTCTGAACCAGTGGTCTGCATCTTGTTTGGGAAAGATGGACATTCTTCTCATGATTTTGACACTTCTGTTGGACAGGTTTGCCTTTTCTTTGAAGGTTCTTTTATATTCTAGACTAATTGTTAGAATTTACCAATTTACTCCTCCACCTACCATCTCCACTAGCACCCACTTCACCTACCACCTCCACTACACTACACCTACTACCCAAACCCTCTCCTATATAATGCCACTCTGATTTGTAATACAATAAATCAACACATCAATCTTGTAATCAAATCTTCTCATGATTTTGAAACTTCTGTTGGACAGGTTTGCCTTTTCTTTGAAGGTTCTTTTATATTCTAGACTAATCTTTTGCTAGCATTTGGGAAATGCAACACAATTGTTTTAGAAATTTCAACCACTTCAAAGCACCTATAGCTGTCCATTTCTCTTCACGAATTGGTTAGAATTGGAAGATGTTGGTAATTGTGTGATTGTTGCCGCCACCTATGAAAGATTTAGGTTGCGGCCACTTCTCTCTTTCTCATGCTAGTATTATACGATTGAAATTTTGTCTCAAGCTTGAGCTGCTGTAGCACAACCAAACCTTAGCTGGTTAGTTTAATCATGGTTTGAAGGAATTCTTTTAGTTTGGTTTTAAGTTTCTTTTTGGAGTTCTGGATTATGGATTATGGATTTGACATTTTATGAAACTAGTTCTTCACTGGAAATACTTTGGTTTTGTTTTCAAAATCTGTGTTCCGATTTTTTTATTTTTTTTATTTTAAAAAAGTAGAAACTAGTTTGAAGAAAATAAACACCAAAAAGATATGTTCAAAATTTTAAAAATTATTTTCTCCCCCCAAAAGAGAAAATCATATAAAAATAATAAGTATTTTTAAAAATTTTTTTTTTCACCTAACTAGTTTTTAGTTTAATTTATTTTTTATTTTTAAAAAAGAAAACAGATTTTGAAAATGAAACCAAACAAGGAGGACTGTGTTTGGGAAACCCCATTAGTTTTATTTCATTAATGATGCATTAAGTTGTGCTTATGTGAATGATGTTGAACCTAATGCTGCCTAGATCATGCATTTTTGTGGTGGGTAAATGAGGATAAAATTGACAACTATGGCATGTCGCATGGGCACTTTTCAAAAGGAATTGTCCCTAGCGTGATGTAGCCATGTAGGGCTATGAGGACTAGGCAATTTTTAAAATGAGTTTTGTGGACACTATGTCAGATATTACTGATGCAAAATATAAGAAGCTCAAGGAAGACTAAATTCAAAGAAGAGATGTTATTTGGACATTGACATGATTTCAAAGAGATCTTGATAGGAATTTTATATAATAATATTTCTGGTATTGTTAGAGTCTTATTTTATGATTATTTTTATGTTTTATAGAATTTTTAAGTCAAGGGTGGTAATTTCTATTATTGTTATCATGGGTTGTAGGGGTCGTGCACATGGGTCATCTTGGGGGTCAATTTATTTAATTAAGTTTTAGTTGTGTTTTCTTATTTGGTCTTAAATTAGTTTTGGAAGATTAAGATATTGTAGTAGTTTTCTTTTTTGGTTCTAGTTGGTTTAGGAAGTCTCTGAAGCCTATATAAAGCCATGTAATGCATCTAATTCAATAGAGTTGATACTTTATAAAAAAATTGAGAGCTTTGAAACTTCTTTATAGATTGTGTGATGCAATCAAACCCTAGGTGCGATTCTTATGGAATTTAGGTGCGATGGTGTGATGCCTAGACTTATCTTCTTCTCTTCTTTCTTCTTCTTTTCCTTTATTGTTCATGAGTTACTACTGTTCACAGCCTCATGACTGCCCCTAAACATTGCTAAAATCCCATTTTTTCATGCTTAAACTCTTGACCTATTTGTTACCCTAAACAAACCCTATTTGTACCCTTTTACTCTTATTGCAATTTCAGCCATAAAATCCAATTAAAATCAGCTCCAAAGCCCAGATTTGTTGCTGTCGCCATGAGTTTTCACATTGTGGGAGATCCTATACAAGTGGATTGACTTGGGAAGAGGGTAAAGCGCTTCTTAGAGAAAAAATTCGTTTAACGGATCTTCAAGATGATTTTCTTGATCAATTGTATACTCTTGAGCAAGGTATGTGATTGATTATACAAGAAAATATAAGGAGTTGTTTGTCAAGTCTAGAGTTGTCAAAAGTGAACGGATGACTATTGCTCGTTTCAAAAGTAGGTTGAGATTTGGAATTAAAAAAGAGAAGTCTTATGCTTATTTGAAAGATCTCGAAGATGCCATTGAAATGGCTATACAATTTGAGGTTTTTGTAAAATTTAAGGAGAAATCTACAGTGTTGAAGCCTACGCATAATGCAAAGACTGTCTAGCAAGAGAAACCAACAAAAACTCCAAAACAAAGGGTTAAAGTTCCACAAAAAGATGCTGAAAATTCACAACAAGATGTGCCAATGCCAGATGTTGTTCTTAGGGATCAAAACCCTACATAGTTGAAGTTGCAAGACAATGAATATGTTCAAAATCAGCTTAAAGAGAATGATTGCCAGATTATGAAGGATGAGAAGCCACCAATTGAAGCTCTATGTATTGAACGTGAAAAGGCAAAGGGTGAAATCAAAGAAATTGTCAATTCTTATGCTCTTGAGAGCAATGAATCGAAAAGAGAAATTGCGGGTCTGGAGCATATAATACCCTTAGAGGTCATGACATTGCAATCCGAGGTCTCCAATGACTTTGCTCCAATCAGGATGTGTGAAGAATCCAAAAGTGAATCAAAAGATGACCTTGTATTGGGAAAAGAGATTAAAAAGTAAGAGATTGAGGTTGTTGGGAATATCAAAGAAAACTTTACAAACAATTGATTTGGATCAATTCAAGGGTGTATTTTCTTTGCTAATTGACTTTGTTATTTCAGAAAAATTTAGCGGCAAGATTGAAAAGATCAATCTCTCATTATTTTTGTTGCTATCTCCAATGAAGAAAAGGTGGCATCAACTTGAAGAATTTAGTGTGAAGCCATGGATGCAATTTCAAAGCTTGTGGATTCTTATATTCCAATACTTCAAAACTCGAGGTCGAGTTTTTTCCAACCAAGGAAAAATGGTGTAGAATATAAGAAACTCATGGAAGGCTAAATTCAAAAAAGGTATGATATTTGGACATTGGCATGATTTCAAAGAGATCCTGATAGGAATTTTATATAATAATGTTTTTAGTATTATTAGAGTCTTATTTTATGATTATTTTTATATTTTGTAGAATTTTTAGGTCAAGGGTATTTTGGTAATTTTTATTATTGTTGTCATGGGTTGTTGGGGTCGTTCATGGATCATCTTGGAGGTCAAATTATTTAATTGAGTTTTATTTATGTTTCTTATTTGATCTTAAATTAGCTTTGGAATGTAATTTCCTTTTTTCGTTCTAGTTAGCATAGAAAGTCCCTAAAGTCTATATAAAGTCATGTAATGCTTCTAATTCAATAGAGTTGATATTTATAAAAAATTGAGAGCTTTGAAACTTCTATATGAATTTTGTAATGCAATCAAACCCTAAGTGTAATGCCTATGGAATCTAGGTGCGATGCCTAGACCTATCTTCTTCTCTTCTTTTTTCTTCTTTTCCTGTACTGTTCACGAGTTACTGTTCGCAGCCTCATAACTGCCCCTAAACGGAGCTAAAATCCCATATTTTCATGCTTAAACTTACTTATGTATTAACCTAAACAACCCCTACTTGTACCCTATACTCTTATTGCAATTTCAGCCAAAAAAATCTAATTAAAATCAGTCCTAAAGGCTAGATTTATTGCTGCCCTATTTGTCCTGCATCAATTACAGTCCTCCACACTTAGCACATTCTAGCATTTCGACCTTTTCCCAATAAGAAAAAAAGAAAAATGGTTGATATCAACTGCATGGCTAGAAGCATGCAATAAATACTTTTATTATTGTAATTAAGCTTGACTCTCCAATTCATGTAGCTGTTACTTGTTAATATAGAAATCTTAGTAATTAATCAAACTATATTTCCTATAGTAGGCTTTGTCAACACTTCTTAGGTTTAGAACATGAAATTTAAATTGGTTTGGATTCTTAACTACTATAATAAGATCAATGAAAATTACATGTAAAATGCAAATTATACGTTTGCTTCCAGAAACTTGTTTGAGAAGAATCAATCATGCTAGGCAGATCACTAGACATGGTTATATGAGTTCCTCCATGTGCATCCTTGCTCTTTCTTTTTCTTATCTGGCATGAAAATTTTCTATAATCTTCTTGGTTTCAATTTAACGTTTCTGACATTTCCCTATGAGTTTTTTCTTTTGGTATCACAAGCATTCCTGTCTTATTGTCTTTGAAAGGAAGTGAACTGTGCATTGAATTGCCTCAGTTGGTATTGCTAGTTATGTGAATTGCCATATTGGGGTAATCTTGGTCCAATTAAAGCCATAGTGAGTGTTCTTGCTTGGTATATCTGAAGGAGTTAGCATGGGTTCTTTCTTTCAAGATGTAATCAGAATTCTGGTTCATTTACCTGCATGAGTATATTATTAGAGAACCAAACCAACCCGACCTCTATGGGTGAAGTTGGTTTGGTTTTTTAATACACTGATTCAGTTTAGGGTCTTAAAATTATCAACATGATAGGATTGGGTTGGGTCTTGGTTTAGGCAACCCGAGACCCGAACCTATATATACTGTATAAAATTTTATTTATGTTCACATGTCTTCATGTAATTGGCTTGTTGCAAATACTAAGTGGACTGGATTGCACGTGATCATTTCATATAAAAAACAAAAGTTAGGGCTTATTAGAATTCATTTCCTACCTTCATCCACACAGTCTATGCCACTGCAAAAATTTCCTCTACCCCCCCTCTTTCTGTTTGTGCTATATTAAACTTTGTTTTCAAGACTTGTTTACTCTAATCATTTATTGTTGATAATGTTCACTTAACTTTTAGTATATTTGAGTTGTGGTTCCTAATCAAACCAACCTGTGCTACATTGGGTTGGTTTGGTTTGGTTCCAATGCATGATTGGTTTGGTTTTAGCTCCAAAAACCTAGAACTGACTATGGTTGATTTGGTTTTAAGTTTAGTGCTAACCCAAACCAAACCAACCCATGCACAACCCTAAGTATTGTTATCTATGTTCTACTGATTGCGTGTTTAGCTGCAACATATTGCACATATGAGAAAATCAGCAGAAAACATTTTTCTGTTTTCTTTAGGCAATTTACTGCTGTAGAACACCTACTTTTCTTATGGGACACAAGGCATGAAATCTTATTTTCCTCGAATGAAGTTCAAAGTGATTCCATATTTGGCATGTCATGTTTCTTATCAAAGATACTCAACCAATAATGAGTCTCTCCTGGATTGCAATCCTCATATTCATCTTATTGATATTTTATTTTTTTGTCGTGAAGAATGATTTCGTCAAATCCATGTGTTTTGTTTCTAGATTATTTTCTTTCACTTTCCATATTGTTCTTGCTCTCTGTGTATTGTGATATATTTTTCTGTCACTGCATTTTATTTTGTGTCAGGCTGTATTACAGGGTAGATTTCCTTATTAACTCTGTTATTGAACTACAGGAATCATTAACTACATCCCAAGCAGAAGTGTTGATTTGCTCGAGCAGCCCTAGAAATGACCCAGAATCTCCCATGAGCTTCTGGGAAGGACGTTCTCCTAGTCCAAATTCAGTTCTGGAACCACCTTTGAGTGAAGAAATTTTATCTGGCTCTGAATGCTTTCAGGGTGTTGGTGCAGACTTTCATGGTTTGTGAACTACAAGGATTACTTTTTCTCACCATCTTTGTTTAGTTTTTGCTGATTCTAATATTGTCAATTTCTGCAGATTTTTGGATGCAACTTCAACTTTTGAAATCAGAGTCGGAAGAAACAAATTCAGAGGGACCTGGAATGGTTGTGTCAAGTGATGAAGACGGTGGGGATGGATCTGTCGATCTTTCTGAAGAAAACAGAAAATTAGTGGGATTGTTCAGAGTTGAAGAGAGTAGGGATTTCTCTTACCTCGTTGATGTTCTGGACAAGGCAGGCATTCATGGTAGTATCATGCAATTTGACTTTAAAAAATGGTACTCTCCCGAATACCCAATGAGCCCTTTGGTGTTTGAGATGCTAGAGAAGAAATATGGTGACCAAACATCTTGGGAGAAGTCAGAACGGAGGCTTCTGTTTGACCGTGTAAACTTGGGGTTGAAGCAGATTCTCATGCCATTCATGGATGTGCTCACATGGGACAAACCCTTGAGAAAAATGTTTAACCTCTCTCAAAGCCGTGAGGTGATTGAGGAAGAGCTATGGAGGTTTCTGGGTAGCCAGGAAAAGGAAGCGAGCAAGGATTTGTCAGAGAAAGCGCTAGGAACAGAAGTTAGGTGGTTTGAGTTGCGGGATGATATTGATTCCATTGTCAGCGAAATAGAGAGATTTTTGTTTGTTGAGTTGGTAGCGGAGTTGGGGAGCATTGACAGTTTTTAGTCAAGGTGTTTATAGTTTTTGGGCATGCTAGGTGGTTTGAGTTGTGGGATGATATTTTGATTCAATTGTCAGCGAAAAGATTTTTTGTTTGTTGATTTGTCAGTGGAGTTAGCTATCATTGAGAGTTTTTAGTCACTAGGTAACATTTTTGAGAGTTTTTAGTCAGGTAACATTTTTGCTTATATGTGTTGTATAGATACAATTTTGGTATGTCAGGATGGAGAAGTACAAGTAAGAGTCTTGGATTGGAAATGGAAACAGATTGGGATTGGTGTTTGCATTGAAGTTGTGTGAAATTGTGAATGAAGAGTCTTGGATTTCTATGAGAAAATTGCATTGCCTGTAGAAAATATTAGATTGGTCTGTGTCACTTGCACAGAGATTCAGAGCTCTTGTACGAATACAACCACCTCCTCATGCATATACATGTTGAACCTTGTTACTGATTGCAGGGTTTTTGATGACTTAATTGTGAATACCGTCTGGAAAGTGTGTTACTGTCATAAATGCCTTGGAAAATAAAGATGGTGAACTTAGATTCTGAAAGCTCTGTTTAGCGGCCTGACACTGCTGTCCATGGTTTCACCCTCCAGAAGCTCATGTTTGGTGCTGTGACAGTGTTTGATGATGAGTTGACAGAAGGATATGAGCTCAGGTCTGGTTTAGTTGGCAAGGCACAGGGGATTTATGTGGCAAGCTCAGAAGGTGGTAAAAACTCAGATGATAGTCTCCATTTGTCTGAGGTTCATAGGATGGCTGTAGCAGAGTGACAACTAGCCGTGCCATTCATGGGTGGTACTGGAAAGTATGTTGACTCTGAGATTTGCTACTGTCAAAGACCATTCCCTCAACCAATCAGCCCATGACAGATGGCATCGTGACATCATTGGCGTTTTTTGGTTTATGTTACTGAGTCTGTCTTAAGAGGATCAAGGATCTTGTGTCTTCAAAATTTCTGTCCATACTCCCAAATGCTCTGGGAACCACTGCATTTGTGAGATTTTGAGACAGCAAATCTTGTGTTGTCTAATAGCCCTAGCGATCTCTATTTGGATTTTTCACCGGTGTTGAGCTCTATATCAAGTGAGAAGAAAAAATGTTTCAATTTCACCTGTTTTGTTTTACTTGAGAATTTGTTTTTCTGATTTTTTTAATTTTTTTTTATTATAAATAAAGTAGTTTAACAAAAACAAACACCAAAAAGTTATTTTTTGAATTTTCAAAAATTATTTTGTCCCAAAAAAGTGAAAAACATACAAAATGATGAGTGCTTTTTATTTTTATTTTTTTTTTTCACCAAAATAATTTGTTTGTATTTTACTGGAGGAATTCTATGGTTTCAGCTTGTTTCTATTTTACATTTGGTGGTACAAATCATACCCTTTTTTTTGTGTATGTTGTTACTTAATTACCTTTCACAGCTGAAGTCCCTTTTTTATGTATGTTGTTACTTAAAGATAGCTCACTATGGAAGAAAGTCATTTGTAACAACTTCACTGGTGTTGAGCTCTATATCAAGTGAGAAGAAAAAATGTTTCAATTTCACCTGTTTTGTTTTACATGATGAATGCTTTTTATTTTTAATTTTTTTTTTCACAAAAATAATTTGTTTGTATTTTACTGGAGGAATTCTATGGTTTCAGCTTGTTTCTATTTTACATTTGGTGGTACAAATCATACCCTTTTTTTTGTGTATGTTGTTACTTAATTACTTTTCACAGCTCAAGTCCCTTTTTTTATGTATGTTGTTACTTAAAGATAGCTCACTATGGAAGAAAGTCATTTGTAACAGCTATGAATATGTGGGGAGGCAAGTGGCTACCCTTTCTTTTCTTACCTACTCAAAGATTTGGTGTGACATTGTCTCTGTGGCTGAACATAACAACTTGCTGCTTAACTTCTTTTTAGAGAACTTATCTCTGAAAATTCAAGATGGCAATAGAATTATGTTTTGGAAGGACAAATGGATGAGTAACTCAAATCTTGAATCTCTTTTCCCTGGACTTTTCAGCCTTTCGGACAAATGGATGAGTAACTCAAATCTTGAATCTCTTTTCCCTGGACTTTTCAGCCTTTCAGCAGAAAATGAGATCTCTCTTAGATCATTGGTTAACCGAAGAATTAGTTCAAACTCTTGGAACCTCAGGTTAAGAAGACCTCTAGGAGTTGGTCAGATTGCAAGACTTGATAGGGTCTGGTCCATCACTGAGTTCTGATTTAATAGCAATGTGGATCCTATTTGTGTCCTTCGCAAGAATGAACTTGAGTCATTGAATCATACCATGTTGTGCCCCTTTGTCTGGGAAACTTGGTCTGCTATAATGGATTGGTGGGGTCTTCAGTGGGTAATCCCAGGTTCAGTGGACTTGCTTTTTCAGTGGTGGGCTGGAGTGAAATTCAAGAAGAGGGAGCTGCAACTTTGGAGAGCTATACCCTTGACAGTGCTTTGGTCTCTCTGGTAAACCAGAAATGATTGCATCTTCAATGGGGCTACTCCTAATTTAGGTGAATTGTGTGAGCCAATAAAAGTGAGACTTGCTTTATGGATGAAACCACATTCCTAAGGAATTTTTCACTCAATTGATGATTTTGTTTCTAACCTATAGCAGACAAGGTTGTGCCTTGGGCAGAGAGGGTGATTTGGTATCCTGATGTTGTCATTGATGCACCAGGAGCTTGGGAGTGTAGTTGTTGCTGGTGTACTTTCTATTTTGTTTGTTTTTTTGTTGCTTGGTTGGTTGCGCACCAACTTAGTGTGATGCTTGCAGATGATTGGGTTTGCTTTTTGGTGCTAATCTAATTGGGATCGCTTTGCTTTGTTATGATGTTTACCCATCCTCTTTATTGATGTATTTTTTACTCTGTCTTCTCATCAATAAAAATTCCTTTTACTGATAAAAAAAATTAATTTGATCATGACTAATAATACCTAACTAAACTTTTTCAACCAGTTCTACCAAAAATTGGACATATGATTCAAGTTGAAGCTACAAATCAAATAGAGGTGGTATTGCCTTATCATCCACACATGATATTATTATCTAATAAAAATTAGGGTAAATTATCATGTAGACACACGAAGCCCCATTATGTAAATGTCACGGTAACAGCTACATAATTAACTTGAAACATGTAGTTACATTTGAATAGTGGGGGTTTGCTGTTTTATACATAGTTGTGTTATTTGTTGATAATATCATATGACAATAATAACGCGATATTGAAGCATCCTAAATAAATAAATAAATAATGCCGTGATATCACCATTATGTTGAATTATTACTATTAAACTAAATATGTTTGTAGCATTGTGGTCTTTACAAGGATGGCACATCGTGAGTAATTATTTAAAATGAATTATCAAGCACAAATTTTGGACCAAGGCTTTTTACAACATTTATAGTGCCACCATCAACATTTTCGCTTCCACATTGAGAAAATAAATAAATAAAAATTCAGAAAAATGTTTAGAAAAGCACACCAAGTTTAAATTTACCTCATATATTGAAATTCTGATTTTGTCTAAATATTATATAAATATATTTTCTAAATACATTGGTAAATGTTAACTAGGATCTCTAGCTTAGCTTGCACCATTTTAATCAAGCCATCACCCATTTTATGCCAATTGCAGTTTTACAAGTCTACCACAAAAACTTCTTTGCTGGAATTGCCTTGGAGAAATTTATCATTTTCAAGTTTTTGTTCATATTCCAACTTGGCATTCCTTGCTGCAACTCTCTCATCCAACCAAGCAACAATGTCGGAAAACACGGCATCGATGTTCTCCGGCAACTCGCCGTAGGTGAGTGAATGCCACATCCCTGGATACAACTTGAAAGTCTTGTCTTTGCTGCAAGCCGTTTCAAATAGGAGCTTGCTCACGGCTGGGTCAGTCACTTTATCATCACCCCCATGGACAACTAGAAATGGTAATGAAACCTGTTTGATCAAGCAAAGACAACAAATGAGTTAACAAGTTTAAAAAATATATTTAAACTTTATTTATTTATTTTTCGAGTTAAGCTTTCTTTGACAATTTTCTTAAACGCATTTTTTGGGGAATTTTTTAGCTTCGAAAAAGGTAAAAATGCATAGCCTCTTTTATCAGCCTAAATTTTCCATCCCAAAAAAAAAAAAAAAAAAACATTTCAAAAAAAGAAAATGATAAATTAATATGAAGAACACACATGTATTAAAAAATTATGAAAAAAAAAAGTGAAATGTCGAAGATATCTAAAAAATAAATATTTCAAAACCATAATGGGTGTGTCAAACAATATAATTCATTTAGGACAAACATTTTTTGTTGACTTATATATATATATATATATTAAAAAACACTTAACCTAAATTTTAATTGCGTCAAGTTTAAATAATTTTTTATTTTATACAATTGTATAATATATATAAACTCTTGCTGACAAATACTTCTAAGCCACAAGTGAAAAATAAAAAATTTAAAAAACATAAGACATTTTACTCTAAATTTAATGCATTTTTATTGAAAGGGTTATTTACATGAAAACTTCCTAAACTATTGAGAAATTTTATTTTGATCCCTTAAATTAAAAAAATGTATAAATAAACCCTCTAAACTATTAAGAATTATCACTTTGCATAATAAACCATAGAAACGTATGAATGAATTCCCTAAATTATTGGCATATTTTACTTTGACCCCTTTTATTAAAGGTTCTAATTTGTACATTTTTATAGTTAAGGGGTTTATTTGTAAGGTTTTATATAGTTTAGGAGATAAAGTGATACTTCTTAATAGTTAAGAATTTATTTATAGGCTTAAATACCTTAGGGTATCAAAGTGATATTTTTCAATAATTTAGGAAGTCTCAGTGTAAATAATCCTTATTGAAATCAATATATATATATATATATTTTTCATATATTTTCAACAAACAATTGACACACTTCCTAATATTAAACAATACTCATAAAACACTTGTTAACATTTGCCTATTAAATTATAAGCCTTATTTGGTTTGGTTTTTTTTTTTTAATTATTATTATTTTTTAAAAAGATAGAAACTAGTTTGATAAAAGTAAATATCAAAAATATTATTTTAAATTTTAAAAAATCATATCTGACAACTTAAAAGATAAAATTATATAAAAATAATAAATTTTTTAAAAGACTTTTTTTTTTATCAAATTAATTTTTAATTTTTAAAAATAAATTTAAAATAAATTTTTGAAAATCAAACCAAACATGATCACCACCTCAACTTTGGAAAGAGTTTCGATTCTCTTAATTTTGTTATGTCAACTTTGGGTTTTCTGGGCTTATTTTGAGACTGATTTCGGCAATCCGAACCATTCACTTTTTACAATTTATTAACTAGAATATTCATGAAAAAAAATCAAGAAAATTGAATATCAGTAACTATATATTTGAAACACATTTAGATGGACAATTTGAAAAAATCCAAACTTCTTTATAAAAGTTTTAACAAAAACACAAGTCATGAAACCATCTTGTTTCACTAACAAAACTTTTGCCAACGTATAATTTTGTCGTGGCCTATTAGAAAGAAAAAAAAAAGAATGGATAAGATTAATCTATTGTTAACAGTAAACAATTAATATATATATATATATAGAAAAACAAACCTCGTCAAGTCTTTGCTCGAGATCTAAGCTGACAGCCATTAGTTGATTGCCCGTTTGTAACCGTGGTTTGTCTGTGTAGCAGTACGAGTTTGACCGAATCTACAAGCACAGTATAAATTTTTTTTTTTAAAAAGTTAATTTTTTATTTATTATTTTTTTTTTTTTATGAAAAAACAAAAGGGACAATATTTATCATCATCTATATACACTATATTTTAAGAAAAAAAAAATCTACTAAAGAAAATTAGAGAAAGAATCAGTTACAAAACCAACGGCAACTGATCACCTACATTCTAGTAAAATTTGACTGTCTCAATTCTCGAGCGATCGCACCAAAAACTCGAGTTCGTTTTGGATTTCCTTCTTGATCAATAACAACTGCAGCATTGTCATCATATTGTATTATCATACCATTGTCACGTTTGAGTTCTTTACAGGTACGTACAATTACAGCTCTAACAAGCTTGTGAGTCTCACGTATAAATTCGTCGAAGTTTCTATGATTTTGGCCTTGTTTGAGATAAATTTTTTTAGTTTGATTTTTTTATTATTTTAGTATGGCTAAAAATTTTTTGTTTGGGATTAAATTTTGATTTTTTTTTTTATTTGATTTGATAGTTATAAGAGAAAAAATAAAATGATTATGATTTTTATGTAATATTTTGTCTTCTTGGCTAAATTAACATATTTTGTCTTTTTTGGGGGGATTAATTTAGCCCCAACTCATGCCAAACAGGGCCTTATTTTAGGAAAAATTTCAATGCAATGTATGATTTAAAAAAAATACAAATAAATGGTAAATTTTATAAGTGTTAATAATTAAAGACATAAAATTTTTCACCAATCTGTAAAAAACTTTCTGATAAGTGCATTGATTAGTAATTTTCTCTTTATTCTACGGCTAATTTTGTGTACTTAGTATTATTTTAAAAAATTATTAGGATGATAACCAAATTTTAATTTTATTTTTTTCTCAATCCTTGGAGAGAATTCTCAATTATGCTGTTTCAAAACAAGACCTAACAAATCCTTGATTGTGAACTCTATTAATTACCTATGTCATTATGGGACCATGCCACTCTAATCAACTTTCTATCACCTAATAATTTTTTTTTTCTCTAAACAAATAATTAGTGCCACTACCAACTTCATATTCAATCACGGATTATAAAACAAATCACTGCCTAATGACTTGACATTGATGAGACGCCGCCTTAACCCAGAAATTATTAGTTGTTCTTATGACGTTGAGGCACACTAATAAAATATGAGAATTTTTTTTTTAAGGTTTTTAATATTAAGATTTTATAAGATAAAAGAAATATAACATTTTTATAATAGTTGGGGGGGGGGGTTTGAACATTTTTACAGAAAAAATTTGATTCATATAAATTTTGGCCTAATTCTGAGAAATTTTAATCCCAACACAGAGAAATTTCAATTTTTACAGAGAAATTTTAAAAAATTTTAGTATGATTTATCAATGAATATATTATGGATGTGTACTTGTTTTGTAAAAGTATAACGTTGATCCTTATATATATATATATATATATATTTGATCTTTCATACTACACCAAATTAGAAAAGAATGTTTCACTTATTTTTTCATAAAAAATGCCATGCCTACATAGACTTAAAACAACAATATAAAAAGCTAAAAAACCAAAAAATTGATTTTTTTAGAAAGTTTCTAAAACGTCCATTAATGGTTTAAATTCATTTCACTCATTAACTTCACACTTTATTAATTTAATATTCACAACACATATTTAAATAAATTCTGACACCCTAAATCTGGACAAGCAGTTTTGAATTTTATGCTTTTTGAAAAGAAAGCCTAACATCATGAGCTCCAATTAGCTCTGTGATTATAGGACTATGCCACTGTTATCAGTTTCTACCACCCAACATGTTTATTTATTTATTTGTTTTTCCCTCAACAAATAATTAATCGCACTCCCAACTCTTAATATCACATCGCGGAGTATAAAACAAATGTTTACTTCATTATGACAATGATAACACACTCCTTAACCCGAAAAATTATTGACTAATTGCTCTTTTGAATATTGATCCGCACTGATATAAAATAGAAAAAATTTAAAAAAAAAGTTAACGATAAGTGAAATTTTTTATAAATATCAATTATTAAAATCATAATCTTTACCATGAAAATTGTAATAATTTTTTAGAAGTACCATTGTGTGGTAATTTTCCCTATAAGATATGCCACACCTTGGATTAAACAACACTTTTTTTTTTCTTTTTTTTACTGAATTATAATTTTCCCATAAGGGAAGAAGACGGAAAAAAAGACAAAAAGGAAAAAGTAACGGGTTGGGAAAAATTGTACCTCCTTTCTGACTTCAGGGTCTCTGAAGGCAACATCAACAATATCTTGAGTTGGAATAATTTTCCATGTTGGAATGACACTGCATAGCTTGGTCAATACTTTAATCACCAATGGGTTTGGCCTCAAATCATCTGCTATCTGTGTATCCAATCAAAACCAATATAAAATTATATTTTACTAATTAATTTCAAAATACTTTTTATGATTTAATTTTTCTAACTTCTATTTATTTATTTATTTTTCACCTATTTACAAATATTTTTCACCTATTTTTCACCTATTTATTTATTTAATGCATGTTCATACTTTTTATGATCAGTCAAGAATTACGTGCAAGACTTATAGACTCTTATCTTTAAGGGTATGGCTTCTGTCCAGTCTGATCCCGGACTGGACCGTGTTGTTGGGCCCGTGGGGGCTTACCATGGGTCCCGTTTTGATAATCTGAACCGTTCAATGTGTAGAACTTGTCGAGTACTATATGCCTGTAAAAAATCACGTTGATCGGATATCGATAGCTATATGATCAAAATAGTTTCGTATTAAAAAATTGGACGGTGAACAAATTAATGATTGACAAAAAACTATTTTGATCACATAGTTATTGATATCCGATCAACGTGATTTTTTACAAATATATAGTACTCGACGATTTCTACACATTAAACGGTTCAGATTATCGTAGTAGGCCCCTACGGCCCAACAGCACGGTCCAGTCCGATTTCGGACTAGACAGAAGCCATACCCTATCTTTAATTAATGCATGTTCTAGTTTTCTACTACTAAAAAAAAAGAAAAAATAAATAAAAGTTGCTAGTGAAAATAACGTTTGACTTCTTGTAAAATGTCTAGCTAGGTTTATCTTTTGCATCAATCTCTCCTAGAATAATCAAAAATAGCAGCAGTTATAATGGGGCAATGTTTATAAAAAATCATGTTGATCGGATATCGATAGCTATATGATCAAATCAGTTTCGTATTAAAAAAATTAGACGGTGAACAAATTAACGGTTGACAAAAAACTGTTTTGATCACATAGCTATCAATATTCGATCAACGTGATTTTTTACGGGCATATAGTACTCGACAATTTCTACACATTGAACGGTTCAGATTATCAAAACGGGACCCGTAGTAGGCCCCCACGGACCCAACAACACGGTCCAGTCCGATCCCGGACTGGACAGAAGCCATACCCTATCTTTAATTAATGCATGTTCTAGTTTTCTACTACTAAAAAAAAAGCAAAAAAAAAATTGTTAGTGAAAATAACATTTGACTTCTTGTAAAATATCTAGCTAGGTTTATCTTTTGCATCAATCTCTCCTAGAATAATCAAAAATAGCAGCAGTTATAATGGGGCAATGGTGGTCCTCAAAATTAACGGAGTTGGAAGTCAAGATCCAACTTTTAAGGGTTAGGCGATTATTTAGAAGAATATTAAATTGAATGAATCTAAAAAAATCTTATATATTAATCCGAGCAAAGCTTTTGGGATCTCTATTTTGGGGATAGTGATAAGCCATCTTGAACTTGTTAAACTCCATCCTGGCAGAATCAACCTGTCTACCAAACAGGCTCTCCTCCACTACCAATCGGTCTTAAGGTTTCCTTCATTTGGAAGCTTTAAAAAAATAAATAAATAAAAATTGACCAATAAAAGTTCATTTTATTTTATTTTTTTAACAAAAAATAAAAGAAAGCCTTAGTTCATTTTACTCATTTTAGTTACTTTAAAAAGTCAAAACATTAAAAATATGCTAAGCAAATTAGTTGTTTAAGCGTTAATTTTTTTTTAGTAATATTATTTTAGTTGATAAATTAACTTTTTAACTAACCCGCAAACAAAAGTAAATTAATAAAATAAACTGTAAAATATTTTAGAAAAATGATATGTGGAGTTGTTAGATGAAACCGGCTTACGCGGTGCAAGAGTCTTCTTAGGTCACTTTCCAATGAGTTGTTTATGCCTTGGTTAGTTTTAATGAGTCCTTCAATTTTATTAGAATTAATAAGGGTTTAGTTTATCTCAAATTGTTGTATTAATTTGAGAGAGCGTTTAGCTTTAGTAGACCTATTTTGGAATCGATTTTAATGATTCGAATTGTTCACTTTTTTTAACTCGTTGAAAAGAATATTTATACAATTGGACATCGCTGGCCATATGTTTGAATCATATTTATTTTTAAAAAATAAACAACAAACATAATTTCAAAAATAACTATCTATTTTTTGTAATACAAATTTAATTCAAATATTTGTCCGACCATTTTAATTTTTTATATGAATATTTTATTCAATGAGTCGTAAAAATTGAACAATCACGTATCTCTTTAATCCAATCGTGGGTGTATATTTATGTTTTATGTGAGATAGTTTTTATCTTGCATAATTAAAGAGATCTGTCATTATTTCCAGTGACTTGTTTTATGATTCTTTTGATCAATATCAAGCAATTGCTATCATATTTTTACTTGTAAAATCAATTAGGATATTATTGGGATCAATATAAAATTTATGTTATAATTAACTTAAGGAAAATGCTATAAATTTCAAATAATCTATCAATTTTTTTATTAAATCTCTCACATGAGTGTGAGATTTATACAAACCCATATGTGTGGGTCTCACACTTTTGGTAAAAAAAAAAATTGATAAATAATTTAGAGTCTCTAGGATAACTCTTAACTTAATAAATTTCAAATAATCTATTAATTTTTTTTATTAAATCTCTCACATGAGTGTGAGATTTATATAAACCCATATGTGTAGGTCTCACACTTTTGGTAAAAAAAATTGATAAATAATTTAGAGTGTCTAGGATAACTCTTAACTTAATAATTTAAACATCACCAAGGATCCTCTAGAGTGAAATTTTCCTAAAGTTTCCTAGAGTGCTATATTGTGTGGTTGAGATTTATTGGCAAGTCACATCAAAAAAATTGATGTGACTTGCCAGTAAATCTCAACCATACACTGTAGCACTTTAGGAAACTTTAGGAAAAAAACACTCTAGAGGATCCTGGCTCTTTAAACATAGGAGGTTTGGAGAGAGAGAGAGAGAGAGAGAAAAGAGCGGGCACACACCTTACACATGGGTGCAACCAAAACAGCACCATCCCATGAAGCTGGCTTCTTTCTATGCAAGAGTAGAGCCACAGCTCCTCCCATGGATTCTCCTAATAAAATTCGCAACTTCTTCATATTCTCCTTCCTCTCTGCTTAACATATTCAAATTTAACATAAATTAAACCCACATGTAAAATTTTACTAACTAAACTTATCAATTACAAATTACAATTCATAATCAGTCTGTTTCCCTAGAAACTTGGAGGAAAGAAAACATGCTGTACACTAGAAAATTAGAAATTCACCAGAAATGCTCGTATAATGATCGGAACAGTCTGTGACAAGATCTTCAAAGCAAGGCACATAGCCTTGAAGCCCTGATGATTTTCCATGTCCTTCATAGTCCATCCCATATACTCCAAAACCTGCCTTGGCTAGCCGAGTCCCAGCACCTGTTCCAATCAACTGACTTTTTACCTCTTATTCAAAATATGAACCATACAGGCGAAAATAATACATGACTCTATATGTATGTATTTGTTCCTTCAAAATAAATAAATATATATAAAATAATAACGAGAGTATTCAAGTTTTTGTCTTAGTAATCTCTTCGTTTCACATATATATACTGGTTAATTATCGGATACAGAACCCATCATCAGAGATAGACCTTTTACCTTTCTGGTTCAAAATATGAACTGAACAGGCAAAAACAATACACAACTTGACAATGGACATGTATTTGTACCTTTTCTTTTTTCAACAATGCTTGGTAGTCAGAATTTTCATGGTCCAAAAATATTCGAGCTAGTCGGGTCACACAAACTCAAGCCACGAAACCACTCCATTTTTTATCCGTCGCTTGGAAATTTGAAGAGGGTATTTGGATTTTTCTGTCAATTAGTCTCGAGTATATGAAGTCTCTTCATCCCACATGTATTAAAGAATTATTGGGCATGGATATTTATACATTTATTTGTATAGAAATACAATTTTTCTACGTGCACTTAGAATTTGTCATAGAAAGTATAAGATGTTGACCTTTCATAGAGATGCTGCACTCCATGGCATAACCATGGCACAAAAAGATCAAAGCTTTTGGTTCATGATTTGCAGGCAACCATCTGCACGTGAAAAGCTTCATTCCTCTTGAATTCAGTATAAATTCCTGCAATAGTTTTTGAGATTGGCCAACAAAATTAAATGGGTATAACTTTTTAAATAAAAAAAAAAAAAAAAAAGAAACCGAAAAGAAAAGAAGAAAATATATTTTGAAAAACAATTACAATTGAACCAGGCTAACCTCTTCATATCTTACGCCCTCAATTTCATATGCCTGTAAAGAATAAAAGAAAAGGTGAAAAAGAAAGAAGAATACATATCAGTGAATATGGGTATCAGAATTTCAAAATTCCTATACATATTGGTGAATAAACATTGTATCGGTCGATATTTAAAACTCTGGTGTATAATAGACATATATGTATATATGTTTGTGTATAAGAGATATAGATACCATGAGGAGGGCTTTGAGACAGAAGATAGGATTGTTGTTCTGATATGAAGAGAAGGAGAGAGAAAATGGAGAAGTTTGTAACTGAAAGGGAGAAGGAAAAGGAGGTGGAGTAATGGATAGGTTGAGGATTTGATCTATGTGTTTATATATATAGACGTGTGTGTGTGTGTGTGTGAGAGAGAGAGAGAGAGAGAGAGAGAGGGAGAAGCAAGTTGGCTTGCCAGCTAGAGGGAAGGACTCCCCTTTTGTGGGTTGATGTTAATCCTAATTTGACCCATAAACATCTTTTTCTTCAGTCTCAAAACTCAAATAGGTTGTTAGTTGTTTTTCTTTTAACAGAACTTACTATTTATACTGCTCCACACACGTAATAAATTTGTTTATTATTCTACAAGAAACTTTGCTTAACAGGACCAATATTGGATTATATGCCATTGCTGAAATTAGTTCATCGCTAGTTAATAAAATCCTCTTCTCTTGGTATAAAAGGATTTAGGCTGAACTTGGATAAGGAATCTAATCTTTTCATGGGACAAAGGGATTAGGGCTGAGTTTGGATAAAAAGAAGGGCAAATTTCCCTTTACTCCGGTAGTTTCGGCCGAATGCGGTTTATCCCATTGACATTTGAAAATAACCACATAACCCCTTGTGGTTGATAGACTAAAACGCATACTCGTTTGGGAACAGGCTAATTTAGTAACTTTTTGGCTATTTGGCTAAAAAGGTAAGTAAAAAAAACTTGTATGTTTGGGATGACTTTTTGGCTAATTACGAAAAGATGTGCAAAAAGTAGAGAGAAAAAAGAATCTTTGACTTTTTGGTATGGGTTGTTGGCTTTTTGGCTAATTTAGTAACTTTTTGGCTAATTGGCTAAAATAGCCTCTTGCCAAACGAGGCCTTAGTTTTTCTATCTAAAATAACAGAATGTGTAAGTCACGCGCCTCTATAGAGAGTGAGCCCATTTTATGACGAAAATATTCTTTCTACCTCTTCAAATTTACAAAATATGTCATTCTATTTTCAACCTTCTTTTTCTTCACCCCTCTCTCTCTCTCCTCACTTCTTCTCAAACAACCACAAATACTTCGCGGCATACTTCAAATTCATTTTTCTCTTAAATTTGCTGATTCTAATAGCAAAATTCCAATGTAAACAGATCAATTCAATGAATAATATTATCAAGGACTGTAAGCTCGGCATAACCCCTGAAGACAATGGAACCTGAAATTAACCACAAAGGCATTCCTATATAGTCCAATAAAGACCATGATTGAAACAATAAAAATAAAAACTGTAAACTATGGTTAATTGAATTTTATTTTATTTTTTTCCTTTTCTGGGTAGAAGTTTTGAATCAAACAGGTTCAATATTTCTCACCAAATCACTCAATTAATTATATTTATCAAATAAAGAAATCATAGAATTTAGATCAAACCATCTTTCAATTTTATTTATTTATTTATTTTTTTTCGTAGAAGTTCTGAATCAATATATATATATATATATATGCATATATATATACAACCGAATCAAACTTTTTTTAGTTTTATAACTTCTAAATCAAACTATATATATACAACCCAATCAAACTTATTTTTAGTTTTATAACTTCTGAATCAAACTTTATATATATATGTATATATATACAACCCAATCAAACTTTTTCTTGATCCCATTTTGGTTCGAATATGAGGCAAATACAATAGGACGATCTTAGATGGAAAGAGAACCCAGATGATCCTAGTCTGAATATGAGGCAAATATATATGCATATTATTGGATATTATATCATTAAATTTAATAAAGGTGTTGATTATTATGAGTTTTAATAAAGGTGTTAAAGAAGATAAAGAAAAAGAAGAGGTGAAGAAAAAGAAGGTTGAAATGAAGAGAGAGAGAGAGAGAGAGAGAGAGAGAGAAGAAGAAGATGAACATGGAGAGAGAAAGAATTGGGTTTCCCCTTAATTATATATGAGGGTATAATTGTCAATTTACAACTTATTTTAACAGAAGTTAATGTGTGTTTTAGTCCATCAACCACAAGGGGGTTATGTGGTGATTTCCGAATGTCAGGGGGTAAATTGCACCCGGCCCAAACCATAGGATGGTAAAGTGAAGTTTTCCCTAAAACGAATTTTGGCCTGATTGAGATTGTGTAATTTATAACAAATTAAAATGAAAAACTAATTTTTGATTATTAACGTAGCATTTTTTTAAAAAAATTAAAATTAAAATTAAAGAGTAAAAAAAATAGATAAAGATGCTCATAATATTTAAATTTGAGTAAATTATACAAATAGTCCCTATAGTTTATACGATGTGTCAATTTGGACCCTATTGTTTTAATTTGATTGATTTTGCAACTTAATTCAACAGATTGTATCATGTTGGTCCAATAAATAACGGTCATTAGGTTTGGTGGACGAAAAGTTGTCACATGCTCAAATGATATGTCAATTTGGTCCTTATAATTTACATGATGTGTCAATTTGGTCCCTGTTATTTTAATTTGTTCAATTTTGATAGGAACTAAATTTATACATCGTGTAAACTACATGAACCAAATTGGCATATCGTTTGAGTTTCTGTCCACCAAACCTAACGGTCATTATTGATTAGACCAATATGACACAATCTATTAAATTAAGTGACAAAATCAAGCAAATTAAAATAATAGAGACCAAATTCATCGTGTAAATTACAGGACCATTTAAATTTTGGATAAATTGCACTAAGCTCCTTTGAGGCTTGAGAAAAATATATTAAGCCTCACAATTTTGACATAATTACATTGAGCTCCTTTGTGATTTTAATTTATTTAACACTTAACCTCCTTTACATCAATAATTTATTAGTTATATGAATGTGTACGAGCACGAAATAATCTTTTCGTATAATCCTGTTGACCAAGTTTGCATTCCTCCAAACGTCGTCGTTTTGCTACTGTGGAGAAGTGGTTTGGAAATACTCTCTGATCCTGGGGAGCGCTCATGATCCGCTAATAGTCACTTGAAAATGAATAAACACTCCGGTCGAGGGTACCGGAATTAGCACTCCGACGGACAAGTCAGTCTCGACTCTCAAGATTACTTATATTCTAAGTTAAGTAAAATAATTCTCACATATCTTTCTTAGTCTGTTGTTCCTTTATTTATACTCGTTTCCTGGGCCTTGGGGCCAGGTCCACTTTTCACTTATTATCCTTTTATTTACTCGGCTCCATAGTTCAGTATCTACTCAGCTTATATGTTTTATTCGGCTTCCTGATCGTGGAGGAAAGAGCCGAGTAATATCTGTCTTCTAGAGTACGCTTCTGATTCTTCTAATTATTCGGCCCACAATTGCCCCCCAAACACCCTGCTATCATCAGTTTAGTCGGCATGTTTGGCTTTTAACCCGAGAAGTCAAAAAAAATTCGGCGATTAACCCTCTTCCCAATGTGTGTCAGAATGCGCACACGCTTTTTAGTCATCGTAACACTTTCCCGCCCCTTCGTACACTGCTTCCATTTAATATGATTTGAAATTGCCTCTTCTAGTGTGTGTCCTGAATGTTCAAAAGATATTTTGCTCGCCCTTCAGTGCAACTCTATCTCTTCGCGGCTTCTACAACTCATTTTTCACTCTATCTCCTGTAAGTCTTCTTCTCCTTCATTTTTGATCCCGCTTCGTTATTGGCTTTTAACTTTCCCTAATCCTTGAGTTTGGCTTAAAAAGAATGGCAAAACATCTGAAAGAGCTCCCTTTCGGCGGATCAAATCTCCGACTTTCGACGCCATTTCTCCATCCCTGATGACGTCCATCTGTCACTTTTGGCAGACAGCATCACAGATATGCAGAGGGAAAATGGGAGCATAATCGTCTTTCCTTTCTTATCAATTGTTGAGGGCAGAGTCCGCTTTCCTCTTCACCCACTTTTAAGGGCCGTTCTTAAATACTGGGGTCTGATCCCCTCCCAGCCCAACATCAATTTCTTTCGTATCATAATGGGGATCGTAGAACTAAATTGTCGTCTTAGGACTAATTTAGGTATTCCTGCCATTCGGCACTGTTACGCCCTTGCCAAATCCACTGGCCGGCTAAGGCGCTACTTTCTTAGAGCTAAGGATACTGATCATCACTTAGTGACTATGCTCGCCAGCTCTAGCAAGCGTCTCGATGACGTGATGGTCGTTGTCCGCGGTAACTGGGACTTCAGCGAAGGCGAAGATCGTCTAGACCCGATGCCGAGGAAAAAAGGCAAACCAGGTGGCTGATTAGATCACTTTGGTCTTCATATTTGCATGTATATGTATTCGACACTATGTTCATCTTATCGTTTTGTTTGTGCAGGCAGCGATTTGAAGAAAGTGTTGGTTTCAGACGACGACGTCGTGCTCATAGAAATCAAAACCGCACTACAGTTCGTCGGCCGTCCAAACCTTCGAAAACAAGGGAGGGCAGCCTACATTCTTATGCGGTATGAGCCGACTTACACAACGTTCTCGGCGGTAGACAACATTCCGATCGCGCAAGGCGACAATTAACTTGCTGCCCTCATTTTCCCCAGCTTCAAAAACTTGAGGCAGATCAGTTAGAGTCATCTGATTCTGAACACGCGGAAGAACAAGTGGCCGAACTAATCGCCGAGGATTCAGACCGGTCAGCCGCGGAAGTTGACGACGCGACTAATTCGGCCTTTGAGGAAGCCGGATTGAATTATTCTGACCCTCCGTCTACATCAGGCCGAGGGGACGCCTTCGAAGATATTTTTTCAAACTTGGGAGACCTTCCCGGCGATTACTCTGAAGATATGGCTGGGGAAAATCTTACGCAGATGGCACGGAAGAGGAACACCGAACGCATGGCTGCTCGAAAAAAGACTGAGGCCATCCGTTCCGGATTTGTCCTGACTAAATCTGTTCAACATACTGTTGTAGAGGAATCGGCCCAAGTTGTCGTCGTCGAGACGGAAAAGGATGTCGAGCGCCTGATTACAGAAGAACTGCTGATTTCGGAGGATCGAGGCGAAAAAAGAAACGCCGAGGACAAGGACGGCTCCGAAGACGGCCCTATTGATAAGTGGCCACACTTGGAGGAGTCGATTGTGGTTGCTCTTTTCATCATTGAACCAAAAATAAAAAACATGTCGATC